ATTTGTATGATCTGAATAAAGAAAATCTGTTACTAAACTTGCCTGATTCTTGAAGTATTCAAGTATTATCATAATGTTCATTATTATTGTTATCATTATTATTATTATTATTATTGCTATCATCATCATCATTATCATTAACATTATTGTTATCAATTCTAATTTTTACCATTATTTTTTTATTGTCATCATCATTTATTGTTATTATTACGATTATATTTCAATTTTATCATTCATTTAACTTAAAAGCGTTTTCTGGTTGGTGTATTCATCGAAAAGAAAGTCATTGCTTTCTAGAGATTTCCTGCGCAAGAATGGACAAAAATATGTCAAACGGTGTTGTATAGAACATTGTGCAAAGCTGAACAACCCTAGTATTGTTTTGAGATAAGCTTGTCATTAGTGCTCACTTCGTGTAATACTCGCAGCGTGACGATTAGAATTTAAAACGCGCGTCGGAAAAACAGTGCCCTGACTAAGTGTAAACAAGCCTTCAGAGAAGATGTCGACCGTTTTCAATCTAGCTTAGGGTTCTAAGAGTTGTTGCGTCGTAACTCGTTCACTTAATCGCTGAAGCTAACGGAAAACGTGTGTGTTTTGTCGTGAGACTAAGGTGACGTCCCTTAAAATCCAGATTCTCTGTCCACAAATCCTGATTTTCCAGTTTTTTGAGCGCCCATATGTATTGTGGGAACTTTTGGCGCCTTAAAACAACATGGCTGAAGTTGCTACTGATGCACATTTACTTCTTGGCAAAGAAGTGGCGAGGTAAACTATGTTTTGCATTTTTTTTCACGAGATATTGGAATTAAAATTATTCCCTTACTATTTGTAAAGAAAACTTTATCAAATACGCTTTGCATTTTGATGTTTGTGTGATTCTCGAGGTTTACGAGAATCGTCCGATCACCTTGCACGTGCCTGGAGTGTGAGTGTGATTTGCAGTTGTGAAGCACTGTCGGAAGTCAATCTCAATTGAACACTTACCCAGTCGACCATGGACTGGAACTGATTTTAATAACAGTGTGAAACGTTTATTGGAAAAACAATAATGTTTTGGAGGTGGAAATTAATTAATCGGTTATCACGCCTCTCCCATGACGATCCAATTTCAAACCTCAATATATGGAGGTCATTTAGCGATCGCTCGTATTAGATTGACCCTTGTTGTAGTTCCTTTGAATGGAAGCGAAATCTGTCTCTTTCTCAAACTATTTTTACCTCATCCTCCGTCAACATAAATTATATTTACTTAA